ACTTTCAAGAGTGAAAAAATTTTTTTTTGGAAATAAATATCTAACCACTTTACCGATGTGGTTCTTACATTCACGGACTCAATGAAATGATGCCTTCCTCCTAAATATTTGGTCACATGATCAATGTTTTTTTTACCATTTCCTAGCAACAGGGGTTGGCTCAACTTAGCCTTTGGCTCAACTTACCCCACTCTCCCCTACCCCGTTCAGATGGTGTGAAATCAGCATGTTGACCTTCTGCCCTCTCCTGGCCAGGAGATTAATATTGTTTAAATGGAAAGATCCTATTCCACCGATGTATGGTCATTGGATCAGGGAGGTCATGTGCCATCTTAAATTAGAAAGGATTAGATATACTGTCAGGGGAGCGACAAAGAAATTTCACAGTATTTGGCAACCTTTTTTGACCTTTGTTGAAGATATGGATGCTGACAGCATTGCAATGTAACTATTATCTGTAATTTAATTTCTCTTGCTCTTTTCTTTTATGGTAGTCTTGCTGTAAAATGTGTAATATCTATGCCCTCTGTCTGGTACACGGGGGGGTTTGTTGTATTTGTTCTTTTAGTGTTATTATGTTTGTTTGTAGGTTTTTTTTGTCTGTTAAAGCCCTCTTGGGTGTTTTTTGCTATTTGAAAATTCTAATAAAAAAACCTTGATAAAAATAAAATGAAATAAAGCTGATTAAAAGTTGCGCTATTTGTGATTTTACGTTTAAGTACGTACAATCACGTTGTACGTCTGTGGCATGGCATCAAAGTCGGCCATTTTGAATTTTGCGACAATTTTCAGCTGGATTTGAACGAACTCCTCCCAGGGAATATATCTGATCAATTTCAAAATTGGTCAGTACAATCAAAACAAACTGTAGATGAAAAGTTGTGCTATTTGTGACTGTATGTCGAACCGCGTGCCCGTGACGACGTGTCAAATTCCGCTGAATCGCCATGAAGATATGTTATGTTTAATATCTGTCATGTGACCAATGATTGGGGTCACGCTAACTGCAGCTTCTTCCTGCAGCTGTAAAACAGGATCTTGAGATATAGGGAGCGCCACACAAGCATGCAAAATAACTAAAGAAGGTTAGATAGTGTTAATCACTCTGTTGCAATGCGAAGGTTAGATAATGTTAATCACTCTGTTGCAAAGAACAGGTGTATTGTCTATTGGTATGTAAAGTTTCAGGTTAAACCCGGAGGTGTCAACATAATGTTGGACTCCGTGAACTGACAGACACTTTGTTGCTTGTCAGGGAGACTAGAGTCAAGACCCAGTGCTCTGTAACTGTGCATACTCTACTGGTGTTAAGAATAAAGCTGATTATTGTTTTACACCAAATCTTCTCCTATCGCTTCATTAAAGAACACACAAGGATAAGGGTTTAAACAGATCACTTTCCTCAACAGCCATAAAACAAATAGTACTCATCAAGTATCAACAAGACATAAAATAAACAATCAAGTATCAACAAGACATAAAATAAACAATCAACAATTTGACAAGACATAAAATAAACAATCAACAATCAGAAGTAAGGTTGAGTCTCCTGACAGCCTGGTGGAAGAAACTGTCCTTGAGCCTGCTGGATTTGGCCCGGAGACTCCGCTGTCTCCTCCCTGACGGCAGCAAGCTGAAGAGGCTGTGAGATGGGTGGGTGGGGTCACCTGCAATCCTGATTGCTTTGCTGGTGAGGCGGGTGTTATAAATGTCCAGAAGGGGGGGGGGGGAGACACCAATGATCCTTTCAGCTGCTCTCACTATGCGCTGCAGAGTCTTGCGGCAGGACACGGTGCAGGCAGCTTGTCAGGATGCTCTCAATGGTGCCTCTGTAGAAGGTGTGCATGATGGGTGGCGGGGCTCCTGCTCTTCTCAGTTTGCGGAGAAAGTATAGGTGCTGTTGGGCTTTCTTCGCCAGTGATGCAGTGTTGTGGCTCCAGGACAGGTCTTCAGAGATGTGTACACCCAGGAACTTGGTGCTGCTCACCCTCTCCACTGCAGCACCGTCAATAGTTAGTGGAGCATGCTGGGTGTGCACTCTCCTGAAGTCCACAATAATCTCCTTCGTCTTCTCCACATTCAGGTGGAGATTGTTGTCCTTGCACCACGTGGCCAGCCTGCTCACCTCACTCCTGCAGTTTGTCTCATCGCCGTTGTTGATGGGACCCACCGCAGTTGTGTTGTCCGCAAACTTAATGAAGAGGTTGGAGCTGAATGATGATGTGCAGTTGTGGGTCAGAGTGAAGAGCAGGGGGCTCAGCACACATCCTTGGGGGGCCCCTGTGTTCAGTGTGATGGTGCTGGAGGTGTTGCTGCTGACCCAAACTTCCTGTGGTCTCCCCGTCAGGAAGACCAACAGCCAGTTGCACAGGGAGGTGTTGAGCCCCAGCTGGTCCAGTTTGTGGATGAGCTGCTGGGGGATGATTGTGTTAAATGCTGAGCTGAAGTCAATGAACAGCATTCTGACGTAGGGGTCTTTAGTCTCCAGGTGGGTGAGGGCTGAGTGGAGGGCAGCAGAGATGGCGTCATCGGTCGAGCGGTTAGACCGATATGCAAACTGAAAAGGGTCCAGGGCGGGGGGGGAGGACAGACTTGATGTGCTGCATAGCTGCTCGAAGCACTTCATGAGGATTGGAGTGAGTGCGACCGGGCGGTAGTCCTTGTAGCAGGAGGGAGACGACTTCTTTGGGACCGGGATGATGGTGGTGGCTTTGATGCACGTGGGGACATCAGCCTGTCTCAGCGAGGTGTTTAAGATGTCTGTGAAGACATCTGTGAGCTCCTCTGCACAGTCTCTCAGGACACGACCAGGAATGTTGTCAGGACCCTGGGCTTTTCGTGGGTTCGCCTTCTGAGGGATCGCCTCACGCTATCTGGGGATAGCGTCAACACCTGGTCGCCGGGAGGTAGTGGGGTCTTCTGTGCCGGGGTGCTGTTGTCTGCCTCAAAGCGAGCAAAGAAGTTGTTCAGCTGGTTCAGCAGAGAGGTGGAGCTGTCACAGGTCTGCGGAGAGGGCGTATAGTCTGTGATGGTCTGCATCCCTCGCCACAGGTTCCTGGTGTCTCTGCTGTTGTTGAAGCGGTCGGCGATCCTCCAGGAGTACTGCCTCTTCGCCTTCTTTGAAGGCCCTCAGGAGCCTGTGGACTTCCCCTGTTAGCCATGGCTTCTGGTAGGCCCGAATGGAGAGGGTTCTGGTGACCGTGACATCGTCCATGCACTTCCTCATGTAGGAAGTGACGGTCTCCATGTACTCCTGGAGGTCTGTGGTGTTGTTGTAGGTGGCTGTCTGAACATGCTCCAGTCGGTGGTGGAGAAGCAGTTCTGGAGTGCCTCTGAAGACCCCTCAGGCCACAAGCGTACCTGCTTTGTAGCTGGTTTGATGACTTTAACTAGCGGCCTGTATGCTGGCATTAGCATAACAGTGGTGTGGTCTGAGGCCCCGAGGTGGGGGAGGGGACGGGCTTTGTAGGCACCTCTGTGTGTGGGGTAGACATTGTCCAGGATATTGTTTCCTCGTGTAGGAAAGTTGATATGTCCGTCGAGTTGTGGAAACATGGAAACAACTCTTGGGGTTTGCATGGTTGAAATCCCCAGCCAGGATGAGGAAGGCATCTGGGTGGGCTGTCTGCTGGTCACTGATGTGCTGATGGAGTTCATACAGTACCTCGCTCCTGCTGTTGTTGGAGCCAGGGGGATGTATATTGCTACCAGCAATATGGCACTAAATTCTCTCGGCAGGTAGAATGGCCGGCATTTAACATTAATTTATTAACATTCAATAACAGTCCCGCCCTGAACACGTCTACATGACAATATTCAGATATAGTGATAGCGCCACCTACTGGCAACAGGAATTTAGCGCTGCATGGCAACTTTGATCTGATTTACGTGAAGTTTTGAACGCGTAAGTCTTTTGCACGGTGTCTGAAACGCGCGATGACGTAAAGCGCTCTCCCTTGGCTTCCAACGATGAGGGCTTGCGCGGTGTCGTTATCATGGCAGCTGGCTTACGGCTGCAGAACACAGCTATCTATAGTAGCTAACGTTGGCTTGCGTGGGCTTTGGCTGCTGGCCTGCTGCGGGTGGGCTGCGCGGGGGGCTGGGGTGGTTGGCTGGCGCCACCGGGGTCCGCGGCGCACTGCACAGGCATGAGATTGATTTGGCCAGCGTTGGTGCTTGCTTGTTGTTGACTCCTTCGCGAGTGACAAAGGGGTGCCTCCGTTTCAGAGAGAGAGCTAAAATGCATTGGTTAGCCTAGCACCACCAAAGTGCACAGCTGCTAGATCTATCTTAACGGTAGCACGAAGATTGCAGTAGGTTTTAACGTTATCTGTCTAACGTTAGCTAACTCACGTTAATCGTCCAATTAGTCATTAGATTAGTCGACTAATCGATAAAATAATCGCCCAATTAATCGTTTAATAAATAAATAAATACCACTAGGGCTGCACAATGAATCGAAATATTACCAAAATTGCAATATGCAAATAGCAAAAGCTGCAATTATTTGATAAAGCTCAAGTGTGTGAAACAACAAACAGCATTATAATGAAGTGATGTAGTGCTGCAGAGATGCTTTTGGACAACAAATGTGTTTGTTTGATACAGACCTCAGAAAATTTAACATTATGATGGTGTTCATTTTTAGTAGAAATTCAATTTGTGATGCCAAAATTATCATTCCCACACTAATTACGAATCATATCACAGTTGCAGTATCTGTAAAAATAATAATGTTTTTTTCCATATCATGCAGCCCTGATATCCACTTAAATCGTGTGTATAATATTTAAATTGAAATACTATTGTGTTACTGTCTACATACACCCTATGTATATCTGTATGTAGTAGTTTGTGACTGCTTTGTTGAGATTGTTTTCCTGTTTATTTATGCTAATTCTGTGTATGTACATTGAAAGCAACGTAAAACCAAAGTCAGATTCCTTCTGTTTACACACACCAGGCCAATAAAAGTCTCATCTTATGCCTCCTGTCTGCAGATATCTCTTGAATAACCCTGGAGTGTGCGGGGGCAAGACGGTTCTGGATCTGGGGAGTGGCTGTGGAGCCTCGGCTATCGCTGCAAAACTGTGTGGTGCTGCTCATGTTGTTGCTAATGACATTGACCCTGGTATGCATCCATCTGTGTGGTATTTTTTCTAGTATCATTTTGTACCTTGTAGTCAGATTTTAACAGTCTTTTACTCACAGGCATTTGAGTGCATAGAGAAATCAATAAACACACACATCCATGCTCAGAATGAGGCAAAGAATGTGCTGTTGGGGCCCATATTATCACTACTGTAAATCATTAGTCTTGTTAGCTTTTGCTCAGTTTCAGTGTGTAAAACTGGTAATGCAAAGGATCCCTTCAGATCGAGACTGAATCAATTGTCTACACATTTTATGTGAGTTATTTAATGGGGACAATCATTTCTTCTGATGAGTGTAAACCTGCCCCTTCCTCTTACCAAAATTAAGGTCCTTCACTAGAATCATTAATAATAATTAAGTGTAATAATTAGCGTCAGGAACAGAAGACTGTCTCACACTTGCACAAAAAGTCCTGAAGCACAACTTATCCATTCACTCGCCCTTTGGCTCGGACTTCACATAAACTGTATCAGATATGAAGAAAAGGAAGACAATGGACAATGAGCTTCTCAACCCTGCAGACAGCAAGGAGGCTGCGGAGGAGGGGCTTTAGTCAGAAGTATTGGCTTACAGGTTTAGAAGATAATTAAAGTTTTAAAAAATCTTTAAAAAGTTGAAAACTGAAAAAAATTTAATTATTGAAAAACCAGTTTGTGTTTAGTACCACCAAGATTTTTTATGTTTTTTAATTTTTCTTTTGTTAGAACTCTATCCCTTCCACTAACAATTAAAGTTTTAAACTTAAAATTGGTTGCCTAAGTTGTTCAATGATTTGTAAAATAGTCCAGTATTTACAGTTTCAGAGAAAAACTGTTTTTAAGACCCACTCTGGACCCAGGGGTTTTAGCCAACTATAGACAGATTTCTGACCTCCCCTTCCTCTCTAAGATTCTGGAGAAAGTAGTCGCCAAACAGTTGTGTGACTTTCTACATAGCAACAGTTTATTTGAGGATTTTCAGTCAGGATTTAGAGTTAATCACAGCACAGAGACAGCTCTGGTTAAAGTTAATAATGACCTTTTGATTGCTTCCGACAATGGACTTGTCTCTGTACTTGTTTTATTAGATCTTAGTACCGCATTTGATGTGAATAACAATTGCACAGTCTTCTCCTTCATTTAACAAATAACAGGCAAAGGCACTGTGTCCGCACATCAGCATTTTAATACGATCAGGGATATTGCCAGAGCCATAATCAGGGCGTTCTTTTCAGATGGGAGCCGCCTGTACCGCTTCCAGGCAGGGGATCCCAGATAACACCATTAAAATCCTAGCCAGATTGTCTTCTTAAGCATACCTCACATCATCATCTGTGAAATTTACGTTCTTTTAGAGGCTCTAAACAAGAGATAGGAAGAGACGGCTCCCCCACTCAGTCTCATCACTCACTGGGTTCCCTCCCACCATCTTCCCCAAGCTCCTCCATCCATGTCATATTGGTTCATCTTTATCCAGTATGTGCTATAAACCATTCTAATTCCAAGTATATTCATTGCCGTGGTCTTTGTTAGTCAATACCTTTTAAGTCAGGAACCCCTCCAAATGTATTACAGTAAGCCAAATGTATTTTAGAGGATTACTGTGTCAGTGATGACAGTAAACCTAAAAAATGCATTCTTGAATGAAAACAAACTTTTGCAGCAGATACAGAGCAGCAGAATTCCTCATTTTGTCTTTTACAAATGTAGGATTTACTGTAGTGTAAAGTCAGGCATATTTCCAATAATGTAGCACAATTCAATAAATAAAATAAAGGTAATTCTTACTCTAAATCACTTCAAATACTGACTTCAGCCAAAATTGTAATTTCTTGTTGCTGTTTGTGTAAAATGAAGGAAAAGACCACTGAAGACTGCTGAGAATTAGTTACTGTTTGACATCATTCTTTAATAGAGGCCAGAATAGAAGGCAGGGCAACAACACAGCAGTTAAAGTTGCTTTAAGGCGATATCTGGTGCACAATAACTCTGGTTGTGTCAAAACTGCCAGGGGCCTTAACGCTGGGGGGTTGGAGGTTAAGGTTGGTGATGTACTGAAGTGGCAGAGGGTAGGCTACTTAATGAGCAGGGTGACCTGAATGGGGGTTTGGGGGGGCATTGAAGAATGTGGATCCTCACTGGAAGCAGTTTGCATTTGGGATAAACAACAGATTTCTTCAGGCGGGGGCTGACAACATCCTGTTGTTGTATTGATTAGTTTTCTAATGTCTCTGGTCCTGGAGGGAACATACGGGTGATGCAGGAAATTAAGTATTCAAGAAGCTGAGTGTGACTAATAGATTAGTTCCAATACTTCTGGTTGACGTTGTCACAAGGTCATAGGTCCCTATGTGAAATGTTTGATGTATTGCAATAGAAGGAAAAGTGCTTAATCAGCCTGTTTGTGTTACAGTTGCAGCCGTTGCGACTCACATGAACTGTGAGCTGAACGACCTGGAGCCGCCTGTTTGTCTCATTAACAACGTGATTGGTTTAAAACCTGAGGCCTTCGACCTGATCCTCCTGGGTGACATGTTCTACGACGAGGCCCTCGCCACCAGCCTTCACAGCTGGTTGGACCGTTGCATCGAAGTCCACGGCACCAAAGTCCTGATCGGAGACCCCGGAAGAGCCCAGTTTGAGGAGCACGGCATCCGACAACTCCTGCGTCAGTTGGCTCAGTTCGAGTTGCCCGAGTCTGTCAGAGAGGAGAACTATGGTCTGACCTGCAGCGGTGTTTGGAGCTATCGTCCTGAACTCTGTAATTAATGTAACATGTACTCAGCTGCAAATGACTGCACGAAGTGTTATGGGATGACTTTGTAGCTATACACTCAGGGTCACTCAGTTTTCACTTGTTGCTTCACCAGTGGTAAAAAACTGTCGATACTTGATATTTGTTTAATACCCAGGATGCACGTAGACAGTATAATAAAGCAAAGTCTTGATATGTGAATGTTTAATTTCCTGTATTGTTGCTTTTAATTTACATACAGATTTAAACATTTTCTCTATTTGTCACTATTTTTTTTTTTTTACTTATGTCTTAAATCACCAGTTCTTTACATTCAGATTATTTTGAGCTCCAAGGCAATAACAAGGCAATAGTCAGCAATATGGAGCCCAATACCTCAATATCAAATGCATAAATATGTATTTATGGAATAAGAAATCCCATATTGAAATTCTGTGTTTATTTTAAATGTAATATTGACTCTGGGGATTTGCAGGCACACACACACACACACACACTGTTAATTATTTAACACAAATCTTAACATTTGCTTTATTCCACAATAACATCATTCCTTATTATGCAAGTTTTGAACTCAGAGCCCTGAGACATTAGTAACCGTCTCATTTGTGAGTGGAAGTGAGACCTCTGGGCCTGTAGAGTCCACTTCAAAAGAAAGCAATAATGTGGTGACAAATAGCACGATGGAAAATCTGCAGCAAGTATCTTAAGAGAAACCACAAGTGTTATAAAGAAATTAAGCAGCATTTTCTGAAAATCATTATGTTTGTGTTCCCACTGTGGCAGTAATATACAGTGTCATTACTTTTTCATGATTTTCCATAACCAAAAGTCATTCCTGTTCTATGGCTGATGTTGTTATGGTCAGAAAAAAATCTTAAGGGACATGAAGTCTAGTTTTATTACAGCAGGGGTTAGTAAATACAGAGAAACAAAATTAAACATACTAAAACATAAATTCTGGTGGAGCCAGTGTCAAAAGAATAAAGACATTTGTCAGCTAGAAATGGTCTTTGAGAAGAAGTAGATAGAAGATAGATAGATAGATAGATAGATACTTTATTTATCCCGAGGGAAATTCAAGTAGAACAAAAGTCATCAAACACCTTCTAATAAATGAATCATTCTTCTAAATATGTGAACATTCATGACAATGAAGCAAGACTGAACAATGAAAGTATTAGTATGCACTTGTGTGAGTTGGTAGATGGCTCCTGTTAGACCTGCACTGAAAGGTTTGAGATTATTCAGATTCAAAGCAGACGTTGGCAATCAATTCAGATTTAAGAATGCAAACTTCACCTAGTATTCTGACAGCAGGTCAATATTTGAATCAGAGAACGTGTGAACAAGGTTTTCCCAAGAGGAGCGGATCTTCAGCAAATCCACCTTAAGCTTATAGAGTCATTTCTGATTACTGCAGACTCCCAGAGATGTGCCGCATTATGATAAAAGGAAGTTCATTCAACCCTTGACACAAGCCGTAAACTCTTGCGTAGTTTTTATTTTTACTTAGATTTTTGTTTTATATACCTCTTTTTGTGTATTCATTTACTTTCTCTGTTTATCTGTGCTTATTTCTGCGGTCAGGAGATACGTAGATAAACAGTAAACAGTAAAACAGTTATTTGCAACATTAAAGACAGAGGAATACTTTAGATGCTTGACACATTTCTGAGGTGTTAATTGTCTCAATTACTTTAGTACAGAATAGACACTATAATAGTATATTGTTACTCATATTATCGTGAGCCAGTGTATTCTTTCTTCTCAGTTCCCTTAACATAAATAACACTGGAGCCTGCATGAGCACATATTGTTGGAGAAATTCTTCCAAAAGACAGAAATTACTAAGACTCTGAAGAAATTACAAGTTGTAGTGGAAATTCTTCTCAAAGTTGAGAGGTGCTAAGTCTCTGAAGAACTTTCAAGCCGGTGCGATAATCAAGTCACTTTAATTCAGGCAGCATGGAGAGAAGGTCACGTAGTGAATGTTCTCTCCAGACTTCCAAAATGCTCTCTCATACATTTCAGTACATCTCATTACATCACAAACAATGAAACACCCCTGTTTGTCTTGCAAATGTTACTCCTGTAAATCCAGGTCTCTCTCACCAAATGGTCCTTTGATCTGTGACTTCCCCCTGGCTCTTCCTATCATAAAATTCAACCCTTTGACCAGGGCCACATCTATTTTATGTCCCCCAAATCCTGTTTCTTTCCCACAAAGTCTCTTTACTTCATGCAGCACGGAGAGAAGACCTCAGCATCGTTTTTCTGGGGGGATACCATCATACATGTCTATGACTACATGTGGACTGTGCTGACCTCATTAAACATGTATATGATCTTGTGTAAACCTTACGTCTCGTAAAATCCTGCGTAATACACACACGTACTTTTGTACCCTGCTCACCTAAGAGAAAGAAAAAGCAAGTTGTTTTCAAATACCATCTGTGAACGTCTATCTTACCCAGCCAAAATAAGTTATGTTCAAGGCCTTGAGAGAATTCTTCCCATAGCTACCAGACATTACAAACTATCCTACAAAAGGTGATTGTGTGCTTTCTTTGTCAGACCTGTGAGATGCACTTTCAGCTGAAATAGATTGACTCTGGAATTCTTTTGGACTTTTTGGATTCTCTACTATCCTGCTTTACTAAATAGACAAAAGACAACTGTTTGTGGTGTCATCTTTTATTTGTTCATTTCTCCATGAGGGAAAACACAATTTCCTCCACGAAATGTACCACATAATTTCTCCCCTGTAAGGGTGAAAAACCTCACTCATCACCAGTCCCCATAGTAGAGGCCAGTACCGCCGTCCAAAGTCTTCTAAACTTCTAAACTCAAGTCTGTGAGTCTCTTAACAGCAGAGGTGGCAGAAGTACACACATTCTTTACTCAAGTAGAAGTACAGACACTTTTGTAAAAGTAGAAGTACTGATTTAACTTAAAGGTAAAGTAAAAAGTACTTTTTTGGTTTCTCTGCAGGACATTTGTACCGGCAGTTTTGGTGCAATTTTTTGAGTCTCATTTTCTTTATTGTTTGTGTTGCCATGATTCCCTTCAAATGCATTCAAACTAAAGTAATGAGTCTGTTTCCCATTTAATTGCTTAAATTCTGCACTACATAATTTCTGACTGACACTGAATGTGAGTTAAAACAAACTACAAAAGCCAAAACAAACTAGTTTCTTCAGCAAAAGTGAGTGATTCCTGTTAAAGGAAGTTTTATAACTAGGTTCGGGAACAAAGACCACGCCTTGCACTCGTCTAATTTCCACTCAAAACTACTACTTAAGCACAACTTATGCATTCACTCCCTCCTCGACTTAGTTCCCCCACTCGGGAACGCTGCAAGAGATACAAAGAGACGGCTCCCCCGCTCAGAGTCTCACAACCCACTAGGTTCCCTCTCACCATGTGGCTGTACCCCTTTAGCCATCCATCCATCCACCAACAAACCCACCTTTCTTCCATCCGTTCATCCCTCACCCTTCCTTCCGAAAACCCCTTCATTCCTCAACCTTCAACCCTTCATCCCCTCACCCCTATCCCATTCTCATTTTGTCATGCATTAATATTGTTTACTCATTTATTTTTGTGTCCTGTGATGAGATGTGGGTCTCCATCAGAAAGTAAATAGATTTGAATGTTAGTATTTAGTTGAGGTGGTCTCAAAAATGTTGGACATGTGAATCTATGTAATAATATTTACCATCTTATTAATTTGCCTTATTGATAATTTGTATTACTCCCATCCCTTATTCTATTTTTACTCCCTTGTTTTATTATTGGCCTATATTATTAATTTATGCTCTGACAAAAGTTCAAAAGGTCTCAGGTGAAGTTATGAAACCACACAAGAGTGAAAAATGTGGAACAGGGTAAAAAGTGAGCAGTTTTCAGACCACACGGTTGCTTGGGGGTAGTGGGTTTTAAATCTCTGCCACCGCAAAACTTAGACAACTGTTCTCTGAACACATTTGACCAACAGGCAACAACTGAACTGAGGCCTAAAAATTGGATGAGTCACAAAAAACAACTGAAGTCTAATTAAAAGAAACAAGGCCATCAATCTCCAGCCCTGACTTTTTTTTTTTTTTTTCAGTGTCGAGCTTCATGCTCATTAACTGAAGTCAGAAACACTCCCTAAAAGCACTCCCACAGATCACTGGCATTCTCAAGGTCAGGAAGTGTGACTGTTGTGCTTCAGCTGCAGATCACAGTTAACATACCCAGACTCACTTTCCTATGAACTGTGCATGAACCTACCAATTTACCAAGGATGATCTCAAGCAGAGGGTGGATCTGTTTTCCCTCAACTGACGCAAAGTAATGACCAATGAGTCACTCAAACTTGTGTTAACATGTTGTGGTAAAATTGAAAGAGAAGTTTAGATTGTTTAGAATGATGAAGTCCCTGAGGAAATCTAGTAAGTGAACCTTGAGTTAAGAATTTTGTCAGACTACTAATTCTGAGGTCAAAAATCAACGTTCAAGCTTTAATAATGAGTTTTAAAAACATTTATAAACTGCCTGTGAATAATTAGTGTTACGATTATTTTACATCGTTGATTAATGTGAGGTAAAGGGACACAGATAGCCTGTTGTCTGCCTTTGTCAATGGTTTGAGCAGGAGTGATTGAGATGTTTTATATTGTACATAAAACATTTAAATTTCAACCAAAGGCTTTCTGTCATATTAGTACTCTGCTTGCCTGCATCTTCTGTAAATCTGTAAGAGATCCTTTATTAGTCCCACTGCGGGGAAATATGCAGCATTACAGCAGCAAAGGGGATTTCAATTTATACAATATATATATATATATTTTACAAAATGTGTATGACAGTTGGACCCAGTGTTAATTTTGACAGCAAATTCTGATTTAGTCTTAGTCTTTTGAATAACACACCATTTAGTTTTAGTCATATTTTAGTCATCTGAATCTTTTAGTCTTAGTCTAGTTTTAGTCGACTAAATATCTAAGGTTTTAGATTTTTTTGTTTTTTTTATTAGACCAAATATTAGCAGATTTTAGTCGTTAGACTAAATCACGGTGGTTTATCTGATAAAATAACCTTAGTGTGTATGCTAACCTTCGCATGTATTTCTGGATGACTCGTCTGTAAATGTCACTTCAAGTTGGTGGGTGTTTTTCCCAGCGATTTTTGCTCCACACCGTCTACAGACGGTCTTGTTGTCCTTGTTGTCATATGTGAAGTGTGACCAGATGTCAATTCTTCGTTTT